CTTCTTCTTCTTCTTCTTCTTCTTCTTCTTCTTCTTCTTCTTCTTCTTCTTCTTCTTCTTCTTCTTCTTCTTCTTCTTCTTCTTCTCCTCCTCCTCCTCCTCCTCTTCCTCCTCCTCCTCCTCTTCCTCTGCCTCCTCCTTCCTCTCCTTTTTCTCCTCTTCCTTTTCTCTTTTATTTTTTTTCTTTTTTGGTTTTTCAAGACAGGGTTTCTCTGTAGCTTTGGATCCTGTGTTGGAACTAGCTCTTGTATACCAGGCTGACCTTGAACTCACAGAGATCCGCCTGCCTCTGCTTCCTGAGTGCTGGGCTTAAAGGCATGCGCCACCAGAACTCAGCTTGTGCTCAGTCTCTTAACACTACAAGAAAAAAACCCAAAACAATGGTCACCTTCTTGGCACAGGAAGACCTTTTGCTTTTTCTCCTACTGAGGGGCAGGAGAAACCATATCCTCCCTCCCAACCCACTCCTTCTCTTCCTCCTTTTCTTTGCCCTGCCCCCATCCCACGTGACTCCTGGACCATCTCCATTTCCTTCCTCTTCCTCTCCTTTGTCCCTTCTCTTTCCATTGGTATCTCTTCAGACCCAGGGGCATGTCTCAAAAGGACACAGGTCCTCTGGCTCTGATGCTTCCTGAGTGACTGTCCTCCGAGCCAAGCAACTGTTGTCTTGTGGAGTTCAGCTGTGTCCCCTTGCAAAAGGATCGCCCCAGCTGGCCTTGTGGACTGTATTCTTCCTTATAGAGGGCTGGGGGGTGGTTATGAGCATCCAGCTGCTCCCTGCCATCTGTTGTGTGTAGCTCTGCCTGGGGGACGCTAGGGTAGGTAGGGGGAGAAAAGGGAGGGGCATCTATGCAGCTCCTGGGAAGTCCTCACCCCTGTTGGGTAAAGGCTTTCCAGGGGTGGCCTACTGGGGAAGAACACCCACACGCTTGTAGGTAACCTCACCTGTGCTCTGTAAGGAAGCCCAATAAACTTCTTGGTTCCCCCAAACCAGAGTAAACTTTAGTAGAGCTGTGCCCCAGTTTGTGATTGGGGACCTCCAGAGAAAGGGTAGCTATTGTTATAGTCTCCCTCTGGGAACGGATTTGAGTCGATAAGATGCCTGGCTGCTAATTCCCAGGTGAGGCTGTGAGAGATGCCTCCTGACTCCCGTGGCCTCCCTCTGACTGCAGGCAGGCTCTGCAGGAGGGGAGCCCAGCCCGAGGGGGTCTGTGTCAGTGTGGGGAATCAGGCAGTGCCTGAGCCTGGGAGAAAAAATGAGCAGGGGTGGGGGGATGAGTCCCGAATAGCCTGGACAGCCCTGAACAGTGGCAGAGGCGCTGCCGTGCCCCTCCTCCGCTGGCTCATCACCATCTGGCTGCCTCGCTTCCCCCTCCCTCCTCTGCCTCTAGTTCTCAGTGGCTCTTGTTGCCTGTGCACGATGCTGGGCTGCAGTGGGCCATAGCATCCTTCCCCTGAGTCAGGGATGTTGAGGCCAAGAATGGAAGGTTGACTTCCCCTCAGCCCACAAAGAGGGCTGGTCAGACTCCATGTGTCTCTTCCACAGTACTGCTTGTCCCGAGGAGGCCACTGGGGCATTCTGGTACCTTCTTCCTGAGAGACAATTGCCGTTGGCTCCCCTACTCCTCAGCTCTTTGTATTCTCATACGTGGGGTCAAACTTGAAACTGTCAGCACCTGGGGCAGATGGAAAGTACCAGAATACAACCAGCACCCAGTAACTGTCGGTGCATAAATGCCACAGCTCTGTTATCGAAGGTGGGATGACCCAGGGCTGCTCCACGCCTCTCTCTGGCTTTCCCAGTAGGGGAAGCAGTAGGCTTAGCAGTGGGTTCCTTTCTGTCTTTTCTTCACTTACATACCGGGCTTGCCTTCTCCTCTCAAATCAGTTACCCTAACCTTCACCTTAGCGTTTGCTTTTGGGGAGTCCAACAGTTGGCACCCCTTGCCCAGGTAGCCTGGAAGCATGTGGTTAGCATCTTACTGGGTTCTGCTTGTTTGCTGAGAACTTGGCCCTGGATCTTTGAAGTGCCTTGTGGCCTGTGTGGCTGTCTAGAACGTGCAGAGACGCAGATTGCAAAGGCATGTGTTAATCCCAAAGATGGGAAGAGAAAGACCACAGACCCAAACCATCATGGCCAAATTCACCAAAGCAAGTAATTAAATAATTAAGCTTATTTTTACTTGTGTACACAGACTGCCCCCCCTGTAAGGAAGACAAGGCTTTTATATCCGAGGGGTAAGGGGTTTCTAAATGGGGAATTTGGCGGGCAAAACAGACAGGCTTACTGGAGCAGAAAGTAAGTCATAACCTCCTGAAACAGACATGGTTGCAAGGTGGGCATAACAGGGTAGTCATAACAACAGGGTAGTCATAGTTGGTCAAAGTATCATTTTGAAACAAAGGGTTGCCAGATGGTTATTATACTTTTTGAAACAAAGACATGGTTGCTCTTTCCTGGACCAGGCAGCACAGAACCATTTGTAGTTAAAGTTAGTTACGGGTGGGGCATAGCCTGATCCCTGAGCAAGAGATTTAATCATAAGCAGGGATGAGTCTAGTTTGTCTTTACGGTAAGGTGGCTGTTAAGCCTAAGGTGGAGACAGGAGGTTCGTCAGTAGGCAGGCAGAGTCTCACACGGCAGGCACAGCTGATGGTGAAAGGATAAGAAAGGAGACACCGGGGAAATTGAGAAGTTGTGGGGATCCTAGTGGGTGTACCCCACTTTCTCTCAGTTGATTCTTCACAGGGTCTGCCTGGCAGGGGGTGAAGGACTCGCCCTGGAGGAGCCTGAGGCTCAGGACAAGAGCACTGCCATTTTCTAGACAGGTTCAGGAAAGGGAATGGGAAGGGGGAAGTAGGGCTTCGAGCTGGTCATGGGTGGAACAAGAAATCTCACACTGGATCCCAAAGCACAGGATGACCCACTATCAGAATCATACAGGATGCAAGCCCAGAGAAGGTTCCAGAACCTCAGGTGTAGGCAGAGGTTGACACCTAAGCCCAGAGCCTCAATCATTGGGCAATGCCATACTTACAGAAACCTGACCGGGGAGTCCTTGTTCATGCAAGGCATGAGGGGTCCAGGCCTTCCCTCCTACTGGGGCCTTCCTGGCTCTCACAGACCCCTGGTGCCCAGAGCACCCACAGGCCACACCTTGAGTTTCATTGAACAGTCACAAACCAGAAGCCAGAGAAATGGCAGAAGTCCCTCGGGTTACCCAGCGGGGAGGGGGCAGGTTAGCCCGATAGATGGATCGTCTTCACAGGTAAGGTAAAGGGGTTCCTCCAGGGTGAATGGGCAGGAGGCACACTCTGCTGACCCCTCCTCTGAGATGGCCCAGGAAGATGGAGCTAGGGCTGGGAGTGTGACTGCCCCTGACCATGCCCACATTCTGCCCACAGTGCCAGGTGGCTCCGAATCCCGTGGCGCCCTCCGCAAGATGAGTGACCTGCTGGAGCTGATGGTGAAGCGGATGGACATGCTGGCCAGGCTGGAGAACAGCAGCGAGCTGCACCGCACTGCCAGTGTGGCACACTTAGCTGCAGACAGGTGAGGGGACGTGGCAGGACACAGGGTGAGGGGACGGGGCAGGACGCAGGGTAAGGGGACGGGGCAGGATGCAGGGTGAGGGGACGGGGCAGGATGCAGGGCGAGCGGTAGGTGCTCCTGGGCTCCTGCGGGTCCAGCAGAGCCTCAAATGTATTTTTAGAGTGCAGGCTAGGTGCCCTTTCTGGTAAACTAGATAAACTTTAAGATTGCAAGACACAGGGCTGGGGAGATGGCTCCATGTGTAAAAACGCTTGCTGCTCAAGCATGAGGGCTTGAGTTCAAATCCCAGCACCTACGTAAAACCTGGGCATAGGTGTTCACTATGGGAGGCCAGGAGGACCACTGGGATTCCAGCCTAGCTCCAGGTTCAGTGGGAGAGCCTGTCTCCTGGGAATAAGGTAGAGCATGGTAGGACAGGATGCGGGGCTTCTGGCTCTGCCTATGAGAGTATGCTGTCTAGCATACTGGCATTTGAGTCCTCACCCTCTCCCGCCACCCCACAAAAATGTGAGAAAAAAAAAACACATCCAGAACGCAGCCTCCTCCTCTTACACTCAACAACCATTAACATTTTGTCACATCTGAGGATTGTCTTTTGTCCTCGTTAAATAAAATACCGCAGGTGAAAACTGAAGGGCCCTATTGCTTCTCCCTGGAGACAAGCAGGTGACACTTAGCGTTAAGCTTTCCCCATTCTATCTTTTACACACACTTACCATGCTCATTAGGAATGCATAGTGTGTGTGTGTGTGTGTGTGTGTGTGTGTGTGTGTGTTGATGAACTCTCTGTGTGTATGTGTGTGTGTGTTGATGAACTCTATGTATGTGTGTGTGTATTGATGAACTCTCTGTGTGTGTGTGTGTGTGTGTGTGTGTGTGTGTGTGTGTGTGTGTGAGATGAGCTGTCTGGCCCAGGGTGGCCTTGAACCTACAATCTTTCTTCTTCAGCCTACTGAGGGCTGAGGCAAGGGAGTTATTAGTGGATCACTCATGATTGACGTATGAGCAGAGGTTTTTCTGTCCTGCCCGGTCCCACGGCCACTTTTAAATAATCATTCAGAGGCTTACTATTAATTACAAAATATGCTTGGCCAAACAGCTCAGGCTTATTACTAACTAGCTCTTACCTTCAGATTTCTATTTCTATTAATTTATATTCTGCCACATGGCTTTCCCTGCGCTCTAATCTTGTTCCTCTAGCGACTGGCTGGCGTCTTCCTGACTCTGCCTTTCTCCTCTCTGTGTCTCCGTTTGTTTTTCCCGCCTAGCTGTATTCTGCCTGGCTATAGGCCAATTCAGCTTTTATTCTCAACCAACGAGAGCAACATATAGTCACAGCATACAGAGGGGTTATCCCACGACAGTGAAGTGGGACAGTGTGCTTCTTTGGATTGGTGTGGCGTTCCCTGCCATTTCGCTTTCCTGTTCTAGATTGCTGGTCATGGGCCACGCCTCAACTGGCCTGGCCGGTTGAGTAAATGCCCTGGGCATCCAGGTGCATCGGGGTGCCCATGATAAGGGGACATTTAACTATGCAACACTGAACATATGGTGTCCTTCTCATGGAATCACCTCTAGCACAATCACACCTCAACCCAACAAGTGCTGCACAGGGTGTGTTAGTCTCTGCAGGGGGGGAAACGGGGGCACAGACATCCAGAAGCAGTCAAAGCGGTACAGCTAGGAGGCACTAGGCCTGGCCCCACGGCTCACCCTCAGAACCGTGATGTTCTGAGCCACGTGTGACTCAGGTTTGGTCTGCTGGTGGCGCTGGAGGTTCAACATTTTACTTATTTGTTGCGCGAGTGTGCATGAATGCAGGCCATGGCACACATGTGGAGGTCAGAGGGCAACTTGTAGGAGTCATTCGGTTCCCTTCTTCTATCATGTGGGGCTTGGGATCCAACTCCGGTCATCAAATGTGTCAGCAGGTGGCTCTACCCGTTGAGCTGTCTTTCCCCCTTTGAGGGACTTTCCATATTTGTGGATTTACAAACTAGGAAAGAAAATCTTTTGTTAGTTTGTGCTCTGTTTTGAGAGAGTTCTCTCTCTCTCTCTCTCTTCCTCCTTCCCCCTCTCCCTCCTTCCTTATCCTTCCCTCCCTCCCTCCTTCCCTCTCCTCCTCTTCCCCCCTTCACGGTCTCATGTAGCCCAGGCAAGCTTTAAACTCATTCTGTGGTTAAGGATGACCCTGAACTTCTGTGATCCTTCTGCCTCTGCCTTCCAAGTACTGGGATTAGAGACCTGCACCTTGACACCTGGTTTATATGGAGCTGGGGGTGGAGCCCAAGGCTGTGTGCATGTACCAACAGAGCCGCTCCCTGGCCCCTGTGCTCTGGCTCAGAAATGTCTATGCTGACATTACAGGGCTGGGACCAGGGCTTCAGGCAGGCATCCCGTGCAGTGCCTGCCGCAGAGCTGTGCTCCCAGAGGGAGCTCTTCCCTCCTCCCCCACTGCAGGGAGCTCTGCACCCTCGGTACTGGTTCCCCACTTAGAGCATCAAATGGAAAAAGGAGAGAGCTGGGTATTGGGACTACCAAGAGCCAAAGTAATGAGCGACATAAAGCCCCGTGTGGGGAGCTTGGCAATATCTATTAAAGAGCATGCGAGATCATCTCAGACACTGGCACAGGCTCCAAAGGCTCGGTGGGTGGGTGAGTCAGAGGGGTGCTCTTCACACAGGTGATGAGGCGGGAGTAGAGGTGCTGAGAGCAGGGATGCAAAGGCCCTGGGGTTGGTGTGTTGAAGGAGACAGGCCATACGGACGCTGATACGGTAGAGTCCTGAGCAGGGGGAGGGCTAAAGGGGAGGTCCTTTGGGGCCATGTCAGCCATAGGACACTGTTCTGAGAGGCACGTAGCTGCTCAGTTTATTTGCTTACTTACTTATGTATTTTGCTTTGGTTTTTGCTTGTATGTGTGGTATGCACACATGTGTACATGTATGTACGGGTGCATGAGTGTGTGAGCACATGTGGAGACCTGAATGTGCCTCTGTGGTTGCTTTCTGCCTTATTCCCGGAGGCAGGGTCTCTCACTGAACCTGGAGTTTACCAGTTCCTCTAGTCTACCTAGCCAGCTTGCCTCAGAGACCCCTTTCTGCCTCCCCTGTGCTGGAATTGCAGGTGGTTGCCACCCCTGCCTTCTGGGGATACAACCCTGGGACCCACGGCTGTGCAGCAGGTGTGTTAATTTGGGTGTTTGAGAAAGGGTCTCGCATAGTTCAGTGTAGTCTTGAACTTGCCATGGACCTGAGGCTCCCCTTGAACTTTTGATCCCCCTGTCTCTGCCTCCTGAGTTCCTGGACTATGGGATGTACCACCACACCTGACTGGATTTACTCATTTTTCCTTTTTTAAATTTATTTTTATTTTTAATTTGTGTGTGTGTGTGTGTGTGTGTGTGCTGAGATACAGGGTTGAATGGATATATTTAAAAATATATCTCTGGCTGCTGTGTAAAAAATGGATTATTCATTGGCAAGAGCAGAAGCAGAGAGGTTTCTGGGAAAGAAAAGATGAGGGGGCTAAGGTGTCCAACTTCCTTGGGACAACATGAGACTGTTTTCTCCTCTGTGTGGACTGCCATCACCCTGTGTCCCCGCGGGCCTAATCCCTGTCCCTGCTTGGTGACTCAACTCCACCTTCCATCCAGGCCCAAGGCCACAGGTGTGTTTTTCAGGAAGCAGAGCACCCCTCCTCCCCATGGCCCCTGCTCAATGAACTGCACTGTTAAGGGTCCAGGGACCCAGCTTGGCAGAAGACTGCAACTTCACTGACTCCCGCTTCTCCCATGGCTGGCCTGCCCCTCCCTCCACGCCTTGCCCTTCATCTGCTCCCAGAGAAGGAGGGAGCCCTGCGGGTGGGGGAGCACGCGCCACCTCCAGGCTCTATCTCGGGGAAATAGCAGCCATCCATCATGACCAGCGGAGCCCATCAAACTCCACAGGCAGAGCTATAAATTGCAGGGACACTGTGGCTCTGGGACACAGGAAGAGAGGTGGGGGTGTGCCAGGGCTCATGGGAGTCGGGGCGCTCACTCAGACCAGCCCCATCCTGCCCCAGCCACCTGGGGTTAACCGTGATTAACCAGCCAGAGTCACAGGAAGCCCTCCCACCTAGGCTATCCCCCCACTTCAGAATTATCTGGGGCTGTCCTCCTCCTGCCCTTCTGGAAGCTTCTGAGCTGCCTTGCTTTCCACTGTGGCTGGTGTGTCCTTGGGGGAAAGCAAATTGGCTATTTTAGCCTAGGAAAACATAATTAGGCAGACGGCTTTGAGGCAAACACCACTGTATTATGCATCCTAGAGCCGAACAGCTATGATCTTTGAATTTCCCGTCAGGCTCCTTTGCAGCGGCAACAGCTCTGAAGCTGGCGGCCAGCCGGCCGCCGTCAAGTACATCTGTCTGTTGTTAGGGTCTGCAGAGTCTGGGCTGGGGACTCCAGGGTGGGGGATGGGGACACGAGAAGCTGGGAGTCGGTACAGACAGATCATCTCAGCAGCCACACACTCAGTGCCTGGCTCGTGGGCATTGGGGGTGCGGCGCCTGAGCGCGAGCCAGCGGCTCACCTGAGATGATTCTGTGGGAAGGAGCTACGTGGTTGGTCTCAGAAAGGATGGTTTCTAGGGTATGTGCCAGCATGTCCACCTCTAAATACTGGGCTCTGAGTGTTAAGTGGGGAAGCAGGTTCTGAGTGTATAAATAGAACCATAGTGTAAGTGTGGCATGCACACTGAAAAGGGCAGGGAGTAGGTACGTCAGCTTTTTTTTTCTCTTTCTTTCTTTCTTTGTTTCTTTTTTTCTTTTCTTTCTTTTTTTTTTTTTTTTTTTTTTTTTTTTTTTTTTTTTTTTTTTTTTTTTTTTTTTTTTTTTTTTTTTTTGAGACACGGTTTCTCTGTGTAATAGCCTTGGCTGTTAAAGGCAGGAGCCTCCTTGCCTAACTACATAAACATCACTTTTTTAAATTTAATTTTTTTTGAGACAAGGTTTCTCTGTGTA